GTACTATGAAGTTAGGTTATAAAAAAATGACAGCTAGTCAGATTTTATTTGTCAATTTTTTTAAGTTGGCAGCAAATTTGCCCAAAAATGGCGGATGATTGCGGTACGATATGAGATATTACTAAATACCTTAATAAGCGTTTTCGAAAATTGAACCGGTTTAACCGGGTTAGTCAAATGACCATGGAAACAAATGTAGCAATAATTTTATTGTTACTATAGCAAAATTTTCCAACCTGGGTAAACCGGTTGAGTTTTCGAAAAAAACGTAATATTATCGATTTATCCATAACAATAACAAAGCACGTAGAACCACCAACACAGTTCAAACCAAGTATGACAGTTTACTGTTGACACTCCCTACCGCAACGTCGTGGCGCTGTAATTTGCGACCGATTTTCAACGACAGTTTCCTGTATTATTAATATATTAAGGTATTTGGTTCTGACAAGAAAGAGACTGATGGACGGACGAAGAAAGTAGGCACGCATAAGGTAAATGACCTAGAAAGTATAGTAAAAACATTTGACAATCAAAACAAAATAATAAGCAATTTACTGCTTTTGTTTATACATTTATATGGTTAGGCAACACATTAAACAAATTACTATTTCAATGAAGCCCACTCTGCTACAGTTACTATTATATTTTTAGTTGGAACACACTGTATTTAGCAACAGTAAGGTCCTTCTTAAATGGTCACAATCAACCACAAACCATGACTTTTCCTTTATCCTAACAGCAGTCCCCACACAGAGGCAGAAGAACAACCAAAACAAAAAATGTGTTCGGATAACAATAAATCTTTGTTGGTCTATAAAGAACCTGTATACCAAATTTTAAAACAATTGGTCACATCTATAAATATTTATTGTCCACACACACGAACAGACAAATATCAACAAATAACATCGTTAATTAAAAGCAATACCAACGTAAATACGCCAAAGATATAAATTTTGCATTTACTTTGTAGGGCAGAATGCCAATCTGCCCTTCATCCTTGGGCATAAGTCACAATACATACTTGCACAAATTTTGTTGGGTCATCCTGTATAATCATAGACTAAATAGCCAGAAAAACCACACTAGGATTATTTATTTATGTATTACATATTAATTATGTATGAAGTGGGAATCCCACTGGAGAATTTTGTTGTATACATTTTTATTAATGAAATACTCCTTGGGAAATTCCATCAAACTAATATTGTTTAAAGCCGAATTATCCTATGCTTAGGTCCATATTGAAATAAAACAAGTTAAAAAGTAATCGTAAACGATTTACATAAAGCGCATTTCCAGTTGCATTCATTTCCCATTTGTAAGATGCAACTTCTGTTAAAATCGTAAAAATCCGGCCACAAATATGAAAGATAGCGTTGCACATGAGCAATCCATTTTTGACGTGCTATTTCAATTTCAGTTTATAAGAAGAATTTCATTTCAATGCTTTTCTAAATAAGAAAGTTGGAACTGCGCATGCGCAAACCTAAATTTTGAAACTAATGTTATGATCTCTAGGATGGTTAATAAACGGCAAAAATGTAAAATTATGGAACATGTAAAAAACGGTTTGTTGGTTTTTTTGCAATAACTTTTTTAGCAATAAACACAGAAAAAATTCCTTGCTTGGTGCAAGCCTCGACACCATAACGAACCAAATAGCGAAAAAAGTAGAACAATAGCTCTCAAGATAAAGAACTAGTAGCGTCGCAAAACGAGCGGACGGACGGACAAAGTGACCACAATAGCGCATTTTTTTTTATTTTTGTGGAAATGCGCTAAAAAGGACTTGAAAATTTTTTATTCTGCAATAAAAGACAGTCAGTCCTGAATAATTACACAATTGGGGGCGCGATCGCAATCTGCTGCTATACTTTTAAGACCAAGTCTCACATAAGCGACACAATAAATTCTCCTTTTGTTGAAAGGGAGAGAAAGTTCAAATTTCATGCCAAAATTCATACAGGGCGCTTCAAAAAAAGCTCTGAAAGATAAAAAATGTAACACCCTGTATACTGCGACCAACTATTTTGATACATTTATTGTAAAGATTCTAAAAAATAATTGATGTATCAACTAAATTAAAACTGCCATCCTGTATAACGAAAACGACGCCCTTTAGGCCATGCATATATACGCATTTTTTTTCCAATTTTGACTAGTACTTCTGTACTGATTGTTAAAAGAGGTTAACTATCGACATTGTTGTCAGACCACATCAAGACACAGGCACATGTCGGCTGTGGCAACCTGTACGCCATTACCAGCGCAATTTTAAATATAATATATGCATTTAGTTAAACATTTTTGAAACAATCTACCGGGTTTTCTTTTTGGGCGCTTTAGTTTAACGTTTCTGGTGAAATAGGTAGTTTTTGAAGTTACTCTGAATCAATGTAAAATATTTTCAAAATGGTGGCACTTACGGAAACACCGGAAGTAGCTAGTAACTTCGTTATTTTAAATGGGCACGCCTATTCTTTATTGCATTTTTGGATTCTACGTGAAATTTCAGTTCTTTTGATACCCACTGTCGATATCTACAGTTTATGGTTTTTGACATTTAATTTCGGATTTTCTTTTTAGTAGTCGGCCATGATTTTATGACAATCGAATTTTAAACAAATCTAGTGACACTATAATCAGTCACAGTTTTTATTAATCGAAAAATGGGTCACAGTGGTTTCACGCATGAAGATTTTTGGAATTTAATTGTTATATTATATGGACAGAATCGCGGCACGTACTTGCCGTACATTCAATGGGCGACATCCAGGCGGTTCGCGTCCTAATGATCATTAGAATGTAGATGTAGAAATGGATTCCGGTAGATCATTGATGTACATTAAAAAGAGAAGTGGACCAAGTATACTCCCTTGGGGTACTCCTCTATCCAGAAAGACCGATTTCGAGCACATACCATTTATTCGCACTAATTGTTGTCTATTATGCAGTACGGATAAATGAAACACGAAATTAAACTAACGGCAATAAGTGAAACATCTTTGAACCCATCATATAGGGCAATTTAATATACAAAGAGTGTTGGTGCTTCATTATGGAAATGTTCTCCTTACCCCTCGTATTGTAGGTGTGGGTATCTCCCACTTTCCCAAAACTGTTTATATTTTTGTGTATATAACAGAGCAATGTAAGTATGTATACACGGTGTCCATTTTTCGAGTGCCACTATGGGGATCTCACTTATTTTAAGAGATAGACAGTTGGTTAAATGGGGGCAAAGTTGCAAATTTCCGTGCTGAATAAGAATCTGAAAAGAAATTTGAAATATCTTCAATACTTTTGAAGATATCACAAAAAAACAAAAATTTCTGATTTTCGTTTTTAATTTTTTTATGATAAACTAGTCGTAGTAGACATTTCTAATTAGCACATTATTCGGACACTTTTTAATGGAGATTTCAAATATGGCATCCTGTTTTTAATTAGGTTCAAGATGACGGAGAAACACGTGGCAACTTTAGTTTTTCTTATGGGCGCCATATTGAATTTTGACATTTTGGGATTACATCTTTTTTTCTCTTTACAACGATATATCACACATAGTGGTTCAGTATCACATTTTTCCTCAAAATACAATTTTTAATTATTTGAGAAGAGTGCTTTGGAAAAACAAAACGTTCTTTTGTTGTCAACAAAAGTTTGACAGTTTGATCCATCTGTCTGGTTGCAGCGTTGTCAGAGAAGTAGAAATTCGATTTTCATCTCAACCGCTTGCAAAATTGCCTGCTCATATTAATTGGGTCTATCACCATATTGCTGTCTACATCTTTTAAAAGAACCATATTCGCCCAAGTTTTTATGCAGCAAAGAAAAATACCTCAAACTAGGTTGTTGCCCCTTTGGATAACGCTGCAAGTATGTTGCAGCAGTCATGTGGGCATTTCGATGAGAAGAGAAGTGTAGTAAATTTGGATCATATCTCTTTGATCTGCATTTGAAAAAGGCATTTTCGCAATACAACTAGCATAAACCTAAATGACACTACATGAAATAAGTCAACCTTTTGTTCACAACAAAAGAACGTTTTGTTTTTTCAAAGCACTCTTCTCAAAAAATTAAAAATTGTATTTTTAGGAAAAATGTGATACTGAATCACCATGTGTGATATATCGTTGTAAAGAGAAAAAAAGACGTAATCTCAAAATGTGAAAATTCAAAATGGCGCCCATAAGAAAAACTAAAGTTGCCACGTGTTTCTCCGTCATCTGGAGAGTTATTAAAAACAGGATGCCATATTTGAAATCTCCATTAGAAAGTGTCCGAATAATGTGTTAATTAGAAATGGGTACTACGATTAGTTTATCATAAAAAAAATAAAAACGAAAATCAGAAATTTTTGTTTTTTTGAGATATCTTCAAAACTATTGAAGATATTTGAAATGTCTTTTCAGATTCTTATTCAGCACGTAAATTGGCAACTTTGCCCCCATTTAACCAACTTTCTATCTCTTAAGATAAGTGAGATCCATAGTGGCACTCAAAAAATGGACACCGTGTATACTGGGGAGAGGTAAAATTTTAAAAGATTTAAAAAGATCTTTATTCTCCCCTTCAAAAAAATTAGAAATTTTCCAAAAAATCTCTAAGAGAAATAAAAGAAAACAAAATCGTGCAGGACTTACCGATATTTAACTCTTGCTCCGTATTTTCGTCCTTGACCGGTTCATCGAAGAGATGCAAATACACCTCGATGGCACAACGCGCAGCCTTAAAATAAAACGGATGCCCCCTCAACACGTCCTCCAATCTCAGCAGTCTGACATACGAACACAATGTCATTTTACGCATGCAATACGTATGAAAATCGAACTGATCCTCGATTATTTCCGAAAAATGCTAAAAATAGAATTATTATATTATCGTCGCGCCGAAACGAAACACGGACCCGATCGACTTCGTGACATTTTTTCAGCGCCTCCCCGTACTTTCCTAATCTTTGGTAAGCTAACGCGCACTCCGTCTGAAACCACATGCACTGCATCTCGTTTAAGTTCTCCATCGCGGATACGCCCTCGCGGGTAAATTTCGAACAGATCTCCTCCGCCTCCTTTAGCTTGTTGGCTCGTAGCATGTACTTCGCACACTTCGAGTTGATATATCGGTCGGCGGTGTCGAGAGCTTGGGCTTCGTCCAACCACTTGCACGCTTCGTACGGGTCGCCCGCGTGCTGGAACAATAAATGAGTCAAATTTAGGACCACGCTTATTTGCTTTACCAGGTGTGGGTATAGCAAATTTCTTATTTTGAATAGGACACCCTGTATTTGGTTGCATTTTCTAAATCTACGTCGTTTGATTCGCTACACCCCGCGTCAAAGGTTTTCAAGGTCAAGGTTTTTCAAAATTTTTGGCATTTGACTGCTTTTCTTTTGAGCCCTGTACCTACAATTCCATTGACTTGTATTTCAAAAAGTCCTCCAAAATGATTTAAATTTTGATCGCGCTTCTACAGGGTGTTTTAGAACTAATGGTAACTTCAAAACTTAAAAAATTGATTTTAAAAAAAAACATGCACTTTAAAATCTTCTTCACGCAAATCTTGAAAATAATCCGTGTCCTCTTGCTTGCTAATTTGGCCGCTTTGTGGTCTAAAAAAGTATTTTTTTTTCAAAATTGTATTTCATTCAACATTCACTTGTATTGTTCATTAAATATAATTGGCTTCTTTTGGAGTCACTGCATTTGATTTAATTTAGCTAGTAGTAATACTGTTAAAGATTTTAAATTCAATCGTTCTTATTTTCAACACTCCTCTGTGTATAATTTTTTGAATTGATAATAAAAATACCTATAATTGATGCATAATACAAGGGCTGTCTCATAAGTAAGTTGCGCTATTTTTCTTAATCCGTGTGGAAGGCGGGAAAAATCGCGGGGAATTTGCGTCTGGGTGTAGTGGCAGCACTTTAAAATCCCCACGCGTGTACGTCGGTCGAGTGAGCTGTCAAGTAGGAGCAACACCTTTTTTTCCGCTAAATCTTCCATTGAGCAAGAAACTAACCTTACCATCCCCGCACAAAAAGTACAACTGTACAAAACGATGTTTCCATCCTTCTAACTGAAACTACCTTTCCCAAGGAAAGATAAGAGCAATCGTAACCTAAAGGGCATCTAATCCACATTAATAACTGTAGGTTACTTTAAATTTTTTATTTGCATAGAGTAGTGGTCGATTACTTTTAAAATTTGTATGGCAATTTTGCTTAAAGTAATTTTAATATTCCTAAAGGAAGAAGAAACAGCTTGTATTGTATTACTTGATAACAATTGGATCCAAACAAAAGAGTTTCGAGTACTGTCACTTCATTAATTGGGAATTTGCGTTTAATAGAATAATAACAAGAAGCCACCACCTACGCCGCATTTTATTAAATGGTGCGAATTTATCAAAAACATATGCACCAATTGTGAGTGTGTAGGCCATCAAGACGGCTATTGCCAGAAAAGTACCATGTCCTATTTTCGTTAATACTGCAGTGTATCTTAGCTGTTTTTAAAGATAAAGACGCTGTGCCGCTTTTCTATAAAACTTTTTAATACCCAAACAGAGACAATCTAGCTACATTTGTTTCTGAGATACAGGGTGAAAATAAAAAGTTTGATTTTTGGGATGTTATCATGTAAGACAGAAAAAAGGTAAAAATTGTTTCTTTTAGATATTTTGACTTAGAATCCAGTTACTGAGATTTGACCCAGTTGGAATTTTTTTAATGCAACACCCTGTATATCTCAACGTCAATTTATTACATTCTTTTTCAATAACTAACCACTGCGGATTGAAATATAATAATTTCAAGATGATGCCGCTTCCGTAAATAACGGAAGTTGGCGCCATCTTGGTTTTTTAATAGAAACATACCATTTTAATTTTCCAAATGCTCCATTCTATTCTCAATTCAACGCATTTAAGATTCGCGTACGTATCTGTCATTACTTTTGACATGTCAATTTTTCTCCAAAAATTTGGAGATGCAAGGGTCCATTCAACTTTACTGACCACACCGTCATTTTACCGGCCACATTTTTGACATTTCTAAATGTCTATAATGACTCATGTCATCACTGACAGATTGACATTAATCAAAAGTTATATATATAAAAATTAAAATTTTATATTAAGACGATTTTGGGTAAAATTTAATACAAATCAGTAAAATGACATTACCTGACTCGGAAATTAAAGTACTCGGTCATTTTCATATTTCTGTGAAAAGTATAGAGATTGTTTCATTTTACGGAGAAAGTTAGTCGAGTTGAAGTTTTTGGACTTAAAATAAAGTGTTTGAAAAATAAATTAGTCGATATGATTTTCGTTTTGGACGAAATAGATAAAAATTGCCTTTTTTGCATGGCGACCTCACTATTATGTAAATTACATATAACTTATTTAAGATTAGAATATAAAAACCAGAAAAACCAAGTTATTTGGGAAAATATAAGAGATAGGTATAGGACATTATTATTAAAAGTTGAAGGTTTTTGGAGGAGCTAAAAGATGACAGAAAAATATACAGGGTGTTCCATTTAAAAAAAGTGAGATTTTTTCATATGAAGTTCTGCAACTTTGGACCTACCAAAAAAACACCCTGTAAGCTATTTTTTTGATGTTTCATAGTAGATCTATTTATTTGACTTTTACTTAATCCAGGATAAAAGATATAAAACCTGGAATCAAAATTTTGACAATATACTGACGCTTGCAAATGCCCAATTTTTCTTAAAAATCGAATTATCTTTAAAACTACTAGCTTTTCGGATCGGATATGAACCATATAATAAAAAAGACGTACAATTACACGTACAATTCAAAAAAGCATTCAAATACAGCGGTTCTATTAAAAAAATGTATCATTTGGGCGCCCTACTTTGTAGGCGCACCCTGTATAATTCCAAATATTTTGAAAATGTGGAGAATATTCAACCATATCATAATACAAAAGCACTCTAACGAAAAATCTTATCTTCAAGGCATTAAGTTACTCCGCGAAATCGTTGACTCACCCTGTACAAGGTCGCTCCTCAATTTGGTACGGGTTCACGCTCGTAACTTCACTAAGAATGCAGTTTGAGCGTACCTCACGTAGCCGCTTGCGAAAATCACCTTAGAATCAAATTTTTAACGCACACAAATAGTACGTGTCGACTCGCCAAATCAACCACTTCTGCCGCTATTTAAATTTCGCGCGTTAGAAATCTTAACGCAATGACCTCGAGTAGCGGACCTTTTTAGACGAATAGTAAATCTGCATTTTTGGCACATGCGCGAAACAAAGAGCTCAAGGCAACCGCGCTCGCTTTCCCCCATACCGTTCTCGTTATCGCCTGACATACTTTTGTTCATGTTCGCTATGAAGCGGTACAAGCTACAAATTCAAAACCATATTTTTGAAACGGCTAAGCGATCACCTGTTATAAAATGGCGCATTTAGAAAAGAATAGAAAATGTTTCTATTTAGAAAGATGGCGCCAACAACGCACGAAACAATTGGAACCCGCCATTGATTTTCTACTAAATCTCAAAAAACATATTAAAAGAATCAGAGCAAGAAAATAAATCTTTTGTTAAACCCTAGACCCCCCCCCCCCCCTCAATCATGGAAAGTGTGGCTCTCGCAAATTTCTTCATACAAAAAGAAATGTCTCTTGTAAAAAGTTTGGCCACCCCTGATATATATGATTGCATATTGAAAAAAGTGTGAGATGAAAGTTGTTTGATATTATATTATGCCTCTTTTGACGTCATTTCAAGTTATGTCATGATGAGCATATTTTTTAAATTGAACACCCTGTATTTTTTTAGTGTTTTGATCCTCTAGACGAGGTGCTTCAAAATGATATGGGGTTTTAACACTCTGAAGTTCTCAGATTTCAAAGATATTTGAGTTTTTATATCAATAATTGGCTCAAAAATTACTCAATAACGTCTAAAGTGTCAGTTGTCAGTTTTAATAAATGGTTCATTTATCCAAGAAAAACTGAATGACAATTTTAATTATGGTTGGGTATGGAGATCGGATGAAATATGAAATACATACACATTTCTCAATGTTTTGATTTAATTACATTAAAACTAAAATATCTTGAAATCTGAGAACTTACCATTTTGAGACACCTCCTCTAGTGGATCATAAAAAACTAAAAAAATACAGGGTGTTGAATTTAAAAACTATGCTCAACATGACATAATTTGAAATGACGTCAAAAGATGCATAATATAATATCAAACAACTTTCATCTCACACTTTTTTCAATATAACGAATGATTAAGGCTGTAGCTCGCTGATTCCATACTTTTCCCCCACACTGTATATTATAATTCAATTGGAATAACAAAATCAATTGAAATCAGATGGAGCCACTTGTCGAGTGAATCAGTATACACAAAAACAGTAAGCGATCTACCACTTAATCTGGAATGCTTACCTTGTAGATTCGTCCTTTTGTGACGAACAACTCTATAAGCGTAGGCGTATGCTCCAAAGCCGCATCTATGTACATTAAAGCCTTTTCGGTTTGATCCAGATAATCGTAGTGCTGCGCGAGGAAATAGTAAACCCAAAGTAACGCCGACGCTGGTTCCTTAGGGCCGTTATTCACTTCGGTCTCGGCGAACTTTCCAATTGACTTTAAGGCATCGGTGTATTGTAACAACAATTGCTCAATGATTTCAACTTTGCTCTTATCCGTATATACAGAACGTAAATCGACGAACAAAGGCGGTACGCCCTTCCTCAAACCTTGTCTTAAGTAACTATCGACTAAGGTTTTAAATTGATCGCCGACGGCGTAATTTAAAGGTAGGCGCTTCGGCGGGTTCGACTTCGGATATAAATCGCCTAAAACTAAATAAAACTGTACAATATCTTCCGATTTAACTAGTTCTCGAGCTTGGATTAATTTGTAATAGTACGTCGTCTTCTCCGGATTTCTCCTCATTAGCTGTTCGTAGTACTTCGTCGCTTTCTCGTATTGCTCGAGGTCTAAGTTTAATTCGCCTAAAATTTCCTTTAACGTTAATTTATCCAAAATTTGATCTTCGCGTTTTTCCAAGTGGAGCAGCGCCCGTTTCAAATCGCCCGATTCGTGTATGACCATATTTTGATAGAGAAGTAGCTCGCTGTGTTCGTAATCGTAATTGTTCCCTTTCTGTAAAAGTGAAAATAGTCTTATAAGCGGACCGAAGGCTGGTGCGGAACTTACTTGTTGTTGGTCTAAAAACGTTTCTAAAATATTTAGTGCACTTTTGTAGTCCCCCAGCAAATGAAATGACATTGCGTAACCGATCCATGATGCTCGCTGTGTAGGTCGTAACATTAGGAGCTGATAACGTGTATCCTAAAGGAAAATGTGAAAGATTGTCGGTTAAAAATCGATTGCATACCCGATATCCTTCCAGGTCTCTCATCTGTATTTGAAGAAGTGACAAATCGCGTAGAATTTGAATATTATCTTTCTCCCACTTGAGTGCGTTTCTGTAACACTTAATCGCCTCATCGTACTTCTTGTCAGATCTTTGTAAAAGTCCGTAAACGTGCCAGCAGACGTGAGAACGTAAGTCGTTTCGCAAACCTCGCCTGACATACTCGTAGGCTTCATCTTTACGTCCCAAGCAATTTAATGTCAAACCTTTCATGGCCAACGTTTCTGAAACGCATCACTTTACACAATCTACCTCACCAAAAATAGCCACATACCTCCATGCTCTGTAAACTTGGAATTCGATAAAATTTGCTTGGCAAATTTTAATCCGTTCTTGTATTGCTTTTGTTCGTAACATCTCTACAAAATAAGAGTCATTAAAAATTGCGGGGCTTTAACGTGTTAGAAATTCGAGGTTACAAAAATATTTAAAATTCGTTCAAATTAAAAATAGACCACAATTCTTTCAGTTAAGACATATTTTTGACACACGCACATAACAAATACGCGACTTACTAAAATTCGCTTAAATAAGGCATTTTCCTTTGGCGGTAAAGGATTACTTGACGGCATGTCCTTATTTTGTACACAAAATCTTCTCGCCGGGTAAAATTAAATGATACACAATTAAGGTTCAACCTCGTGGCCCCAAACCTCCTCCGAAGTCGATTGTAATCACGTGATGCACGTCATTCGTCAACCAAGTAGGTAAAGTAGAGACTATTTTTAGCATGGATACGAACCTCTTCCTTGTTGAATTATATACAGAGTAAATTGATTGTTTTGGACACTACTGCGGAATCATTTCGATGACATGCAGTGACCAATTTTAGGTTTTAGGTCACGAAATTTCACACAGTAAATACTCTATATGTACTGATCAATATTAAAAGTCACTTCTGGCAACACTTATTAAGTAATGACAACTTAAAATTGGTTACTGGCTCTCTTCGTCTGACAGTATTCTATTCTATTCTCAGGGGAGCCCGACCGGGCAGCACTTAGGCACATCAGAGGCCCATTGTGCCTACCCCCTTTCTTCGCAACTGAGTTCATCAGAGCCCGTTCCTCTCAATGAAGGGTAG